TGGCTTGTAACGTAACTTAGAACACACACCTGACTCACATGACAACAGTTTCAACACTGCGAACTAGAGCAACGAGTAGAGCAGACAACTGAGGTAGTAAAACAGCAAAGGAAAGTCCTGGAGAGTCACGAGCACAGCGAGACTAGCTGACTTGCAACGAAACACCGGGCAGACCCCCCGAAGCCTGCACATAACTCCGAAACTGCATAGCCCAACGCATGACAACCCTGATTCGTCACACAGGAGAAGGCAGCACCTCTCAGTGTATAATAACAGCATCGAGCTGGCAGGCATCGTCAGAACAGGCCTGTGGCTCAGTTCGAAGAAGGGGTACAGAAAACCACGACTAGTGAGATAGATGCGGAAAGACTGGTATGTGATGAACTCTGTGGTACAAGAGCATGTGCCACCAAACAGGCAGCGCCCATATGAACCGCAGCTGGCAACTACCGAGATACCAACAACCACCGTCAGAATCACCGGACACGAGATCACCCTCCCCGGACTGCCATCACCACCAGCTCAAGAATCATCATCACCCCCACCAACGCAAGTGTTACAACTATCATCGAAATCTTCATCACAGTCTTCACCATCGATCAGCAAGCAGTCGCTCGTTTTCAACATTCCAGTGCTTTTGGTCCCACTGCTGTCCTGACACCTCCAACAGAGGTTCGGGTTTCTCAGGTCACAGAGCACCATGCCAAGCTGCCAGGAAGCCATGTTCCATCGTCTCGGACCTTCGAAAATCTTAGTGCTGACGGGCTTCGGGTTTGGGTCTTCGGGAGAGGCACTGTGGTCGCGCATCTCTAGCTTGAGGCTTTTTCTAATGAGCGCTCGTCCAGCCAGTGAGAACAACTGGGTTCAAGGCGAGTGCGCATGTGTACCTGTAAGTGCACATTAAATGTCATGTTACCTGCGTAAGCGAAGCAGTGTACCGGTAGTTTAGACAAGTGGCTGCATGTAGGCGACCAGCGTAGCAAAGGTGTGAGCAAAGCGTCGCGAATCCTCCTGGATGACCAGTGCTTCTTGCATGGACAGAAGACGCAATGCAGGAACTCTGAACACACCGGTTCCAGAGAACCCCAATTTAACAGGACCCATACTAGCCGTTCATAGCCCTTACATGATGAAGCGCTTGAGCAGATTGCGAGATCTGCATTGAATGTTCACCCGGCCAATCCCGAAACTTCTCAGACATGGGTTGTTCGATGGATGGCAGTGGCATGTGGTGCTGAAACACTAGCCGTGCTGCTTTCTTAAGCACAAGCTACCAGATACCCCGCAACCCTAAACCCTAAACGCTAAGCCTTAAAGCCTGAACCCTAAACTCTAAACCCTAAACCTTAAAGCCTGAGCCACTAAGCCCAGCCCGAAGCCACGGCGATGCCTCGGGAGTCCCAGCTGGCCCCAGCTTGAGCCTGGTGTGTCCTTGCGTCGGTCTAGCTTCTTGTGTTTTAATGGCCCCCTTTTTTGAGTCTGCATAAGGCGTCCCACAAGCCCGTGTTGGTCTAGCGCTTTAAGGGGTAGGGTTTTGTAGGTTTTCGGCCGTAAGGCGCTGGTTTTTCTGTCTTGACGCTTCTTTGCCTTAGTTCGAACACCACCGGGGTGGAGCCACTCGGCCCGGATGAGGGTTTGGGGCGTGGGCACTTTCAGGGGCAGTGGTAGCGGCAGTGGTCTTGGTAGTGGCAGTAGTAGTAGTAGTAGTAGTAGTAGTAGTAGTAGTAGTAGTAGTAGTAGTAGTAGTAGTAGTAGTAGTAGTAGTAGTAGTAGTAGTCAGTAGCAGTAGCAGTAGCAGTAGCAGTAGCAGTAGCAGTAGCAGTAGCATTAGCATTAGCATTAGCAGTAGCAGTAGCAGTAGCAGTAGCAGTAGCAGTAGTAGTAGTAGTAGTAGTAGTAGTAGTAGTAGTAGTAGTTGTTGTTGTAGTTGTAGTTGTAGTTGTAGTAGTAGTAGTAGTAGTAGTAGTAGTAGTAGTCGTAGTAGTAGTAGTAGTAGTAGTAGTAGTAGTAGTAGTAGTAGGAGTAGGAGTAGGAGTAGGAGTAGGAGTAGTAGGAGGAGGAGCAGTAGGAGCAGCAGCAGCACTAAGGTTAGTAGCAGGAGTAGTAGGAGGAGGAGGACGCGGAGTCCTAGCAGAGATAGCAGTACTAGCAGGAGTAGCAGCAGCAACAACAGTGGCGGTGGGGGGTGAGTTTGAATTTGGATTGCAGCTTAGGAGCGTGAGGAATGAGGAGTTGAATGACCCAAGCATTAAGCACAGCTTATCGGACGACAGCCCTGCCCCCAGGCACGTCTGGGAGCAGAAGGTTTTCACGTTTCGCATTGTCCCATCTGCGCAGAAGCGCCAAAGAAGAAAGAAGGAACCGCAAGGGCGCTTGCGCTTAGCATACCCCGAAAGGAACACAGGAGGACCCCGAATTGACGACTTTCCCTCGCTTCTTGCAGTGCTGTGCATCCTCACCTGTGTAGAGCCGATAGAGGAGCACAAAGATGCTGTCCTGAAGCGCATTGGTTCTTGAAGCCAAAGGACACAGGTAGGCTAGGAGCTCAGAGACACTAGCACGGCTGGAACAACTGTTCGGGGCTCGGGCAATGAAGCAGGAAGACAAGGCTGATGTCAAGCCTACCGGCATCTCACATGTAGTTTTCGGAGACTGTCTGAAGCCCAGCGGCCAGGCTCGTGTCGTCATCGTGCAGCTTGAGTAGTGCCCACTCCAGAGCGGGCCGCATTGCAAAGGTCTTGATGCTTTCTTCCTGAATGCGGATTTCCCCGTGCTTGTTGTAGAATTGGGACTAGGACTAGGCTATCACGCCAATCCTCAGGCTCCAAAACAGCAATTCAGCTCCAGCATGCCTGCAATCCCTGTGCTCAGAGCGCATTCCCACATACTTCAGAATCTGCACGTGCGCTATGATGCCACCGAGCACTGCCACCTTACCCTCGCCTCCAAATCAGCAGAGCTCACCATGGAGTCTTTGAGCACGTTTCGATTGCAGTGGGTGATCCTGGGATGACAGTCGAGAACAGGATGAAGGCAGGCAAGACCAAACTCCTTCGTGTGCCAAGCAAATTCTGAGCAGCCTGGCAGCTCAGAGTCATCCATCGTCTCCATCATCACCATCACTATCACCATCAGCATCATCATCACCACTGAATCACCACCGTCACCATCACCCTTATCATCCTGATCATCCTCCTCATCATCATCACCGTCATCATCATCGTGAGCGGAATCATTATCAAAACCACCAGTATCCCCCCACCCCCTCACCCCCACCACAAAAACCACCACCACATTCCACCCCCCACTGCCCCCAACCCCCACCACCACCGCCAACAACAACAACATCATAGTCGTCATCGTCGGCCTGATCGTCTCCCTCTCCCTCCTCCTCCTCCTCCTCCTCCTCCTGATCCTCCTCTCACCTCCTGATCAGTATCGTGAGCAACGTCATCGCCACAGTCATCGTCAGCATCATCGCATTTCTCGCGACACAACGCATGCAGGTCTAAGATATAGACACGACGCCTACGCTAGCAACCGGTAGCCGAGGCACCACTTCGCGCGTGCATCATCTTTCGGCTTCGGAAGCTTGAGGGTCACTTCCTTCACTTCCTTCTTCTCCTCCTTAGCGTCCTTGTCCTGTGGCTCATGCCAAGTGGGAAGATCTTTGTTCTGCGGCTATCCGGCGTTTCGAGTCGCTCTCGCACTCTCACCGCCAACGCTGATATTGGACGATGACGGCGACAACTACTACTTAACTGTCGCAACCTAGCGCTCATGATTGCTCATGCTAGTACTACTACGAAGATGAGTGACCACTAGCAGCAGCAGTACTGGCTAGAGAACGCGAGCAGCACTCCTTCTACTCTATATGTCCCCGTCCCTGTGCCTGAGCAGGTTAGTCAGCAAATCACTCCGCTGTGCCTTTTTGCCCTTCTTGTCAGCCTTCATCTCATCCTGGCGGCTCATCAACGATCATCCCCCTACATGGGTAGTTGTCAAAATTAGGGTCCCTTCTTGGGTCCTCATGATAATACGGCACCTAACTAATTATTTAGGGCACCCAAAAATGGGCTATAATTTCGACAACCACCTACATCGAGCAGGATGGCGTACATCTTACAGAAACCCGTAAAGGCACCCTTGTAGTTCCGACTCAGAGTGGCCATGGCCTTGAGAGATGCCACACTGTAGCCTCGAGCTTTGAGCAACTCCTGGCCGCTTCGCAGCTGTTTGAAGGCAGCTGGTACGAACATGTAAGGTCGGTAGACGGGACGGTAGGCAGGCTTGTATGACCGATATGCACTTATATATATATATATATATCATATATATCATATATCCGTATATACATGTACACATACATATACACACGGACACACATAGTAGTTGAGGCATTCAGATCACATCTCGCATGTGATATACACTGACATGCAGGGACTTCTGCACTTTGGGAGGGGCTATGGCACTGATTTGGCTCCTGACGATTCTCCAGTGTTTGCTTCATCCAGTCGTCAAGCCTTGGTGGCTCGGATTTCGGGTGTCGGCAGCTCAGAGAAGGGACAGAGATGACTTAAGGCCTACTTTGTTGGCAGCCGGATGCTGCTGCACTTTCATCATCAATAGCCTCGCTTGGCGACATCAATCCCAGGCCCAGAGAACCCGAGTACCCCTTAATTAAGGAATATCCCTTGAACTATAGACGGCTTAATATTATGGCATTATGGTTCAAGGTATATTTTTTAAGTAAGGGTTATTGGGATCTCTGGGGGCGGATTTCTCAGGCATCCCTGAGCTAAGCTGCTGATGCTCTCTGCGCATCACCAAGAGCACGAGGTGCTTCATTTCCTCCAATGATAACAGCTCCGTCGTAGGGTGTAAAATCCCTAAACTGCCCCAAACACCTAGCTCCACATCCCAAATCGCAAATGCTAAGTTTTCGGGTTTTATCGTTCAGGGGGTTCAGGCTTACGGTGCTGCTGGCTGGTCCAGTTCGGGTGTATCTAGGGATGTCAGGCTGTGACAGGGAGGGACAGCTTCAACTTACTTATAGTTATATTCTGCTAACTCCTGCTAGCGATGCACGCGTGCCAAGATTTGAATGGAACCATAGGCCAAGTTTTCGAAGCCCGCCTTGCTTCTTCGATGATTTACTTGTCTTCGTTTGTTCGAGCAGGAGGGCCAAAACATCTGATTGAAAGTACTTGTAGCACGTAAACCTATCTCACCAACGAAGCGATGCACAAGCAAAAACAGGTGAGACAGTAATCCTAGGCCTGAAAGGCAAAAACTCCTGAGCACTAATACTAAACCCAGCGAGGAGCCTTGTATGGGGCGGAGTGCTGGGACTAAGCTTCGAAACGTCCAACCTCCTCCCGGCAGCTCAGCCCTTCTGCACGCATACCGCTGAAGACGTTAGTCTTGATGTCCTGTTCGCGGTGTGGGGATACAGGTTGAGGGTTCAGGTCCCAGATCTTGGGGTTCCGGCTTTGAAGGCAGCAGAACGATGAATTGTAGTGCCCGTTTCCATCGTCGTGGCCAGAAGGTGATAATGCTCTTACAAGTGTAGGCTACAAATGTCTTCCCCAGGCTCTGTACCCATGGGCTCACACTGGAGGCCGCTTGTCTAGGACTGCTATCATCAGCAGCACGGCTTCACCTATCTCTGAATTGCCTCTCACTTCTCATGCTTGCTTGACGGCTTTGTCTTGCAACTTTAACAGCTTCCTCCATAATGCTTCCGCCAACGTCATCGACAAACACTTGCTGATAACTAACCGGCATTCCGGCCGGGCCGGTGCAGGATGAAAAAAGCATCATTTTGATTAGATTACCTTTGGGCGGGTTTATGAATATTTAACAACCATCCGGGCATTCGCCTGGAGCTTCTGCATCTGACCTTGGTGGTGCTCTCCGAGCGCTGCATTGATGGCTTCAAACCACAAATGCGACAATCTTGATCGCGTCATGTTGTTCCGGCTGTCAAAACTATCTCTAGACATCACTGAACCACGCAGCCTTGCAGTGCACGAATGCTTCGCTTGCGACTTCTTGTCTTGCTGTGGTGGTTGTTATCCTGCTCTTTTGCGTCAATCCTTTTTGTGCCGACGACGTGGCTCTCATATTATCTCTGGAACAAATCAACCTTGGTCTCTCCGGTCAGATGACGACAACAGAGTAGCAGCAGTGATGTCCATGGTGTCGTGGTGCTGAATTAATGTCGACATCGCCGCTGCCTGCAGACACTGCACCGCCTCCTGCTGCCATTCACGTATGAGCCGATCGCAGCAGTCGAAAAGAACTTGCGCGCGAACTTAATTCTCTTCATCGTCGCGGTGTCAATTGCATGTTTTCTCGTCGTGTTTGTCCGTCTCTTCGTGTTCGTCCGTCGGTGGGCAGGAAGTGATCATTCGTTTGATTGCGAACACACCACTACAATTTTTGTTCGTGGAACCGGATGCAAGACAAACGGTCGATGCCTTTCGACGGTACTTGTGAGTTCATGTCAGTTCCGGATTGTGCAGCCCTGACCTGACCTTTTAGTAAGAGACATGCCCGGGATCTCTCAGAGCTCTGCAGCTCAAAACCGAGCCAGCCGATTCCGAGCAGAGTGGCTGGCAGACGCTGCCTTGGCCTTCTCGGGGTCCAACAGAAGCTCCAATAGACCTCGATGACCGCAGAACGGAAAACACACAGCTGGTGGTCGTGGCTCTGGACATGATCACGAGGTTCTTGAAGATGCGCTGAAGGATGACGAAGCTGGTGATGATGGTGATGCTTCGACGATGAGGGGGAGGACGAGGAGGAGGGGGACAGAGGAGGAAGAAGAGGAGGAGGAGGCGGGGGTGAAGATCATGATAACTAACCGATTAGGATGAAAACGGCCACCGCGACGATGGTGATAGTGAGTGAGGCAGTGGTGTTGGCGATAGCACCGGCGGCAGTGCTGGTGTTGCTGAGGTTGTGGTGAGGGTGGTGCTGGTGGTGCTGGTGGCGGTGGCGGTGGCGGTGGTAGTGGTGGTGGTTATACGGGGGTGGGGTCGGTGGGGTCGGTGGCGGCGGCGGCGGTGGTGTTGGCGGCGGGGGCGGGAGCGGGAGCGGCGGCGGACACGACATCGGCGGCGGCGGTGACGGTTTCTGAGGTGGTTGTGATGGCGAAGGGCAGCAATTCGAAAGACTGTATGTATGTAGCACCGAGCACCAGGAGAAAGTAGAACGGAGAACCATTGCTTGCAGAAGTCGAGATTAGTCCCAGCAGCCCATTCCGTCTCTGCCTTTCAGATCTTTTGTCTGAGCCTTCCAGAATTGCAGGGATTGGGTCGGACTTGGGTTCAGTGACCTGAAAAGCGACAGTTGAGCAAGATATGGCTACAAGAACGGCCAAATGCCCAGTCGCAAGCATGAAGCGCTTAACCACGTGAGCCAGACCTTAAGCCCGTACGTGCCCAGATCGCGAAACCTATGCCATCCACACTCTTAGCGTTAACAATAGCAACTTCATTGCGGCAACATAGTCATAGCAATGGTAGCCCAGGCCTCAACTACCTTGAACTTGGAGGTCAGACGCTCACATTCGTCCAACATTTCAGCCTCTTGCTCCAGGCCTCCCGGCAAATGATGGGAACAAGACGGGCATATGGAGCAGCTGCTGGTCGAAAGTCCAGTAGATGGGCATAGCAGCTAGCATGGCTAATCAGATACTGCCGATATTGCCGGGAGTGTGAGCATGTTCCAGTAAACGATTGTTAAAGAAACTTCTCATGCTAGGTAGAAATTTCCGAAGGCTTCCTCCCTGTGAAATTCTGTTGGCGACACGAAAACCACACTAGAGCGTCGAAGGCCCTGCAGCTTGAGAAGTTCTGCTCATGTCAGTGCAGCTGACACCTGCAGACTTCTTTTTTTCTGGATGTCTGCGCAGGACGAAACTACTCGACCTCGCACGTCTCGAGGCCAATGCAAAAAAACAGTACTCCTTTCGCCCACGAAGGCATGCAATCTAGAAAACTCAACCGCATGAGCAAAGAAATAGACGCACGAAGACCGCGACTTCGATCTTAAGCTGCTGAGGGTCGTCGTTGATGAAATCTAAACCAGACCCTAACCCCCTAAACCCTAAGCACAAAACCCCTAAACAACCCGAAGCCAAAACTGCAGACCAGCAGCTCAGGCGGCTGCGTGCGGAGATGTGAGAGATCTTCAACCTTGCCAGCTCGTGGGAGAGCGAAGGTACCCCCGGCTGCAGCATACGCCCAGAAGGAACATTGCTTGAAAGTATTTTGGACGCTTTGGCAATACTACAGTACACGCAGGGCTCATCGAATTGAAGTGTTGCAACTGACACGGATAAGTGTCTTTCCAAACGGCGTGGGCGAGAACTATTGAAAGACGGCCAGGAAGTAATCGACTCGCGGCGCTAGCCCAAGCTATAGAAACTTCTTTTCGCCGAACGTCAAATCCTCGCTATGACCCGGGGCCGGCACAGGTTTTGGACTCATACTTCAGAGTGCTACGCTTGTGGATGCGGGTGCGGGCAGGGGCAGAGTTGAGACCGTGCGCCTCAGGGTGTGGGGGGGGGGGGGGTTGCTTGGATCTGGCACGCAGACGTGAAAGGCGACGACTTTCTCTTGCAAACTGTGCTAAAACAGAAAAGAGTACCATGTCCAACGAATGTGTCGGTGCCCAAACTTTTCTTCCATTCATCCGAGAGACACATACCATGCGAAGACTGCGCGAAAGTCCCATGGGAGAGCAACGCCACTGCCTTGGGCTCTGAAGGAGCAGAACTGCGCTATGGCTGACGCAGGGTTGAGGCTTTGGGCATATCCAGTCTTGCTCATCCTTTGCATCTTGTCCACTGCTGAAGTTAGATATATATATATATATATATATTTATTTATTTATTTATTTGTTTAATTTGTTATACATCTAGATAAAGGCTTGTCGGGACAGGATCTGCCGGGCTGCGCATCACGGCCAGGGTAATCAGGCAGCGACAAGCCAAGGCATCCGGGTGCGAGTCCTCCACCAGGCCGAGGACCTGACCGGCGATGCTTTGCCATGCTCCTCTGAGTCTCTGCAAGAGACACTTGTTTTCTTCCGCCTCACTCAACCAACCTTGCAGGCCATGAGAAACCCTTGACCATGCCTAAACTCCCTCAGTTTGAGCCACGAGGCCTGAAGTATTTGAGCCTCTTCGTCGTTCAACTCTGCATCGGTACCAACGGCGTGCACCAGAGAGCAAACACCTTGATACCAGGCTGCAGTGGGGCTCGTCTCTTGCGACTTGGATTGTAACTGTGTTATTAAGTACAAGGCTTCTGGCTCTTGGCGGCGGATATAATTAGTGAGCGATGTAGCTGCAATCTACAACGGCACGAAAACGTGCGGGCGTAGTGTGGCTGCGACATCTGCATCCCTTACCGCTCGACCAGCTTTGCTGAACTCTGCTCCCGCCTGCATAATCTCGAGCGAGGAAGCGAAGCAGAAGCAAATACCTGAGAAGTCCCTAAGACAAGTAAGGCAACAACAATCACACGCAGGTTGAAGATAAAGAAGGGTAGGTAGGTACCTGTGTCTGCCCGTTCGTTAGACATGCGAATGTATACAAACAAATACATAAACGTTTCAACAAATGAAGAAACCAACGAATGACTAACGAAATATATTTAGATACAAAAAATATGTGTATGTGTGTGTGTACTTATCCGTACGAACCTACATACATACGTATATACATACACATATGTATACATGCATACATACATACATACGTACATACAAGCACACGAGCATATTTACATACATAGATATACATATGGCATATACATATACATATACATATACATATACATATAGATATACATATATGTATACATACTTGCCGAGCTGTCTCTTAGACCGAGAAAGTTTAACTTTTTATAAGGATTTCCTATGACATAGATGCAAATCTGCGTGCCACTCCTTTTTTACAGCCGCCTGACACTGGAGAGCTTCGCAAACAATCCGACGAGTGAAATCTGATGAGGAGAGGTCGCCTCTTCCTCACAGACCACTTCAAAAGTCAACCTCGGATGTTTGGGTGACTCTGGAAATGGCGTGTCAGACAAAACATGCAAGCCCTTCTTCGACGGTCTTGACTCTGACACTGCAGTCAGAAGGGCCTTGCATTCCAAAGGGAATGCCCGGCGAAAGCTGGCACTGAGGTAGAAGTAAAAATGACTCTGCAAAGCTGTGCCGAAGCTGATGCACTGACCTTTGGTCATTTTCGTCCTCGCCCATTCCATGTCCGCCAGTCTGCACCCGTGAAGGCGAGCCAGAAGCCCGGTGCTGGCATACAAAGAAGACTCAAAAGCCCCGTCTGCCACCAAGATCACATCGCTCATGGAAGCAGCTTCGACAAGTTGGTAACGATGCCAAACGGGAACTTTGACACTGGAGTTTGCGGGCCACACTTTCACCAATCGTCCCAGTACTGGCGCAGGGAGGGCGTCGATGGCTGCAGCAGGCGGTGGCTTCTGCCGATACACTCCTCCCTGACCGTCCATGTAAGGAACAACCTCTCCAGGTTGAAGGGATTTGACAACTTGAATCTGCTTCTCCTGGACTTTCTGAGCATTCTGCAAGACTTGCTCCGTGCGCGTTCTTTTCCTTAAGTTTCATGAGGAACACCCGGAAAGATCGGTTGTTATTATTATCGACAAGAGCGACACATAACAAGTTAACTGCTCATGCAGGGAAGCCTCGAGGAGGAGCTTTGACCCTGAGGCTCTTCATCAACAGTTGGCTCTGACTTTCGCTTTGTGGAAGTCCGTGCTGCTGCCACGTCTGCCAGAGCATCGACGACCGAGTCAAGGTCACTGTGATGACTCTGACCTTTGGCGACGATGTCCTGGATGGCCTTCGTGTGCTTTTGACGCTCCCCTTCCAAGGTCACTTGGGCCTCAGAGGTGGGCTTCTGCACACGACCCAGCGGCGGCGGAGCACTAGAGCGGGTAGCCGCGCGGTCCAAAGCTCGTGACGCCAGCTGCCTATCACCAAAGAACTCGCGATAAGCTTGCTGAGCATGGACTGCAAACTTTGACGCTCGATATTGCACGTTTTTCTCCGATGACGCTGCCGGGCCGAGCACGAGTTCATCCGTATTGAAAGAGCCTCCAAGTCGGCGTCCTTGGAAGGCTGAGAACACAGGGGAAGCGGCAGCAGGCCATATAAGAGGAGCTGTTTGCGTGGCAACGTGCCGGTGTCGAAGAGAGGGCTCGGTAGATGTTGCAGCTGGCCAACTGACATCAACTTGCGGAACTGCCCCGTCCCAACTCAGGCTCCACCCGAAATCATGGGCGCGCCCAAAGTCAAGCCCAAGCTGAACCTGCACAAGCGGTGATCCGGCAGACACCCCAGAAGCAGTCGTAGTAGAGCACCTTAGAACGACGGGGTTACGGGAGAAAACCTCTTGCCACAGCCGGCCATACTTGATGTCATCCTGTAGTATGCGGCATGAAAGGGCTTGAGTGCCCGGGCCATCACGCGTGCAAATGATGGGTGGCCCTTCGGCATCCTCAATGTCCGTAAGTACAACGGTAATAGTACTATGTCCTATCCTGGGCAGGCAAAAGACATCGACCGCCGGCCGGCGTAACGAAATGCGGCGCAGAGACACTCCATCACAGCGATGGTCCCCAAGGTGACCCCGAAGTGCACGGTACAAGTGACTGATCCCAAAATCGCGCGGCATCCGAACGCAAATAAGCTGGAAGTCAGCAGCCGTGACATACGCAGGAATCTGCAAGTCGAGCCAACGCTCAGCGCCCAGACCAACAGTCGGGATGGAGATCTCTCCTACTTCCATACGAGGCCGCTCATCATCGGTGTGTGCCCGGAGAACATCCCCGTGACAGACGCTTTTGCCTGGAGGCGCCTCAAGCCTGAATGAGGCGCCTGGTACCAAGGACCGCAAAATGGATAAGGCAGATTGCCCAGGCCGGGCACGGGACACATCAACACAGAAGCGGCTATGTCCAGTATCCAACAACACAGTATGATGCGTGGAGTCTCTGGGCGGAGTCACAAAGCAAACACATCGGTGCAGGGGAGGCGGAGACACCAGCACAGCAGAGCCCCGCCCTAACCTACCGGCGCATTGTTGCAACAGTTCCCGGAACTGAAAGAAAGGTCGGTTGCCTTGAAGAAAGAACCTGAATTCGCCAGCGGGGCTAGCTACTGAAAAACAGAACACAGGAACCCGAGCACCCGGCATGCCACTCGCAGTGGTCCATGATAACTGCGTGAGCGAGTCAGGAAGGGCAAGGCGATAAGCCAGTCTGGAATGCGCATTTACGTCAGCAAGACCGGGCCCAACCTGCTCCTCCCAATCAGACACACGGTCAGCTGGAACCTGAAAAGGGACACCTTCCTGAAAACCTGGAACCATGGCACTTGAAATCCGCAGCCAGATTACCCCTAGCACGCAGCGAAGACGTCCTTGGCAGGCCACCAGTAGGCAGACAGAAGAGGGGACGGCGCCCCATCCACGTGAGACCTCCAGCGGTGACGGCGAGACCTCATCATGCTCATCCTCCTCATCGGAGACAACATGATGTGGGTCAGCGGTCCTGAAGCCTGAAGCGATATTGTCTCGCCGAGCTACCACAACTATGGGCAATGGAGGCTGTCCTTGCAAAGCGACAAAGGGATTGACAATGACCTCCCTATGCAGGACCAAAAGTTCCCCTGAGACGAGCCTTGAGGTCAACGGCCTGTGCACAGAGGGGTCTCCACCTTGACTAATCGCCGTTTGGATACGCATTGCCGGAGTGTCATACATGCTGGCTCCAAAAACATGAAGGGCACCTCCCAATGGGCGCAAGTCGACTAGTGCAGGGGGCAAGCCGTCGTGACAAAACATAGCAACAAATTGCACTGGCGGCAAATTATCGAGCGGAGGCAACAACCGCGCAAAATGCAAAGGAACCGTTGGGTCCCCAGGTGCTGATGCAAGGAAGGTATGAAGCACGGAGGAACGGAGTGTCAAATGGTCCGCGAAGGAAGGCGCCTGAGTGAAAAACAGTCCGTTGCTATAAATGACAACAGCATTGGAGCCAGCGGTATCATGCAATGCGGCCTCTGAACCCTGTGTGTAGGGGAGGCTGACACGAAACCAGTCATCCGAGACTACGGAGGGGAGCGAATCACCCTCGATAGCCTCCACACTTGATGCAGTAATTGGCCATACCTGAAAAGAATCTAGCTCTGGCAGCAAGAGCAAAAAGGAAGCAGGGCTGAACCAACCTTTGCTGGTACGGAGTAAGACGGCCTGTTCAGAGGGTAGCCCTTGTGCAAGCAGAGCACGGCGGACCACGTCCACACAAGCGTGATCACGCCGGGCAGACAGCACCTGAATATTACCTCCGACAGGGCGCAAATCCACAGGCAAAGTGCACTGATACCACGCCACGCGTCCTGGCGAGATGACATAGGACTCCGGAGGTGTCGAAGGGAGCCGCTCTGACAGTCTGCTGACATGCCAATCGCTCAGCTGAAGGCCGAGCGCCGTGGCAATCATGCTGTGCAGGAGAACGCCGTGTGCACGATCATCAACATGGAAGGGTACCGGCACTTGCTGACACTCAGAACAGAATACTCCTATATCCCGAATAGGAAACGGGGGGGCGGCTAGCTGCTCATGTAAGGCAGTGTTGACTGACCTGACAGGAAGTAGATCACCGACTCGTTCAGTAGCAGCAACGCCGCCAGTGGTATACACCGGCTGACCATTCCAGGGACCCTGCCGATAGACCTGAACCGCTGATCCGCCTGGAGTGCAGACAAGCCAGATGCAAAGCATGCCCCGTAGCTGTTGTCGGGAGGGTTTCCACTCAGGATTGCTCCTCATAACATGCCTGCCCATCATGTTACAGAAACCTAAGGACGAGGCAAAACGTCTGTGTGTTAAGCTTCAAGGACGACTCCAATATCTCGTTCCCGAGCGCACGGGCACGATGCTTGAGCTCAATGAGGCGTACTTCTCCGAGAAAACGCTCCACGTTTTGAGTCCCGGTGAGGATCGCAAGCGATTTCTGGATGACCCTGACCGCCAAAGGACGAGCAGACCGTTGCCGTGGATCCAAGCTTTGCAAGGTCTGCATCCATGCCACGGTGGTGTTCCCGAACCGTTGCCTCAGGGCACCCACTGACTCTGACTTGTTCTTGGCCAGTGGGTTGTCGAAGTAGTGCATGGCCCGGGCGAAGAGGCCCATGGATGGACCTTCGCCGTCCACTTTTCCAACCAGCTGCTTCCTTCGCAAACGAATCTTCAAGACAGTCACATCCCACGCTATTTATTGCTTAGGGTTTAGGGTTTAGGGGGATACAAACAATCGGTGTTGTGATGTTAGTGAACTAGGATCCCTTTAAATCTTTAAAGGTGATGGTCTAAACCTACCAGGGCACCAGAGCTCATCTGCCGACATGCTCTCAGTGAGGGCAATGGTTCCCAGCATGACTCTGCGTTGAGGCCAACTCAGCACCCCATCCAAACGAAACAACGCGAATGCATTCACCTCCTCATAGTTTGGGAACTGTGTGGCGAAGAATGCTTGAAACAAGCTGTAGATCTGCTCTGTGATCGGCCGAAGGTCCTCCACCTGACCCTGAGGAATTGCAAAAGGAACCTCTGAACGACCCTGTAGGTAAGTCAGATGGCCGAGTCTAGCCAAGTTCTTCAAGGTCAAGGCCGTCAGTGTGGCACCAGTGGCGTCATGAAGAATGGCTTGATCTTTGAAAAGAATCTTGACCTCACGCAGAACATCCTGCACCTGTCACGGAACACTCTGAATCTGAATATGACCCTGTAATTATTCAGCCCTGCTTTTTCAACATGCGCCTCAGTGGCCTTGAAATACACTTCGGTCGCGGCCTCATCATCCTTCCTGATAAATTTCTGGCTCAACATTAGTGCGTCGCCAGCCAACGCGGCAGTCATGATTCGCAGCCACGAACCGGGCCCTGACACTGCTGACAGCAGTTGGATGGCCCACTTGCAATCAGCTTGGTCACCCTTACGGGTCATCCTTACTCTCAGAGCACGAACACAATCAAAATAGGCACTGCAACGCGGCAACGCTCGACCTACACCCACTTGCCGAGGAGCTCAGTGAGAAATCGCAGCACATCTGGAAGCAAATGGAACAACTTGAAAAGGGGGTCTGACAATGAGTTGAAGCGCTGGAGCGCGAATGAAAAGTTTTTCAATGCCTTGGTGAATTTGACACCGTTGCTGATCTGGGTCTCCTGAAATATTTGGGAGTACTTGCTGGAGTTCCTTGGTTGACGCAAGCAAGATGAAGAGCAAAGGGTTCAAGACATGAACCATGCTGTTTGCAAGCCGAGCTTCTGCAACATTCTGCTGATAGATTGCTCGTCAGTTGTAAACAACCCAAGTAGTCCTTGACACTGCTCGTTCAGGGGACCCCATATGCCTTTTGTAATAGATCTGGCTCTGTGAGCGCGATCTCTGGAAACCATGGTCGCATTGTGAAAAAGGTCGCGCTGAAGAAGAGGAACTGCAGCTTGCTCGGATGGGCCACCGTCACACACCAGGCAAGTGATGATGGCCTGCAAAGACTAGCAGCAACTAGCTTTAACTCTGACGTGACACTGACAGATACTCCCGCGACATGAATGGTAACAAGCCTTCATGTGTTCGTAAAGGTCTGAATCCAGACTGTCCTCTGGACCAGAGGCCTTACCATCTTCGCGACGTCCTCTTCGAATCGTGCATGCATTTTCCAGAATGACTCTGATACTCTGGGCACTTGCTTGGGCGCCCGTACCAGTGACACGTACGGTACCTAAGATGGCTTCATATATGCCGGATCGTGGAAGATAAGAGTTGCCATTGAGATCCTGGTACCAGAAACGTCCAATAAGGAGCATCAGCCCGTCTCTGACGTCGTAGGCGATTGACCCTATCACAGCCTGCCAGGGAAGACATGTCTTGGTGAGCCTTGATGCTGGAATCATGCGGGATTTGTCGGGGAGGTTCCTAGCATACTGATGGCTCGCGGGCCTTTCGGAACACGGCTTGATCTTGTTGGTAAAGCGGTCGCCCCAGAGCCAAAACTATTTTCTTTGCAGTTTGAGACGACATGTCGGAGTGCGACCCTTGTTGCAGCACTGCACCTGACACTGATAGAGCCTTGACGTACTCGTGGTAATCAGTGAAAGAGTCTCTTCTGGCAATGATTTGTCCAGCCAACACAAACTTCTCTAATCGTGGGCACACGTCACTCTGACCGGTGACCTGCCCTGATGCGGGATCCTCTGGAGACTTTAGTTTGGCATCTAAGTCCTTCAGTGCGGCCAAATGGGAAGGCGACTGCGCATGCTTGCTGAAAGCGCTGGGCCCCATCGTTTCTTTCGTGTTGACACTGAGTCGCGAAAACGATGATGAGTACTTCTGCGGATGATGGGCACAGACCCAACACCCGATCCCAAATCCACCAGGGAATGTTCGTGGCTTGACCGCCAGCCAGCACTTCTCACCCAACTCAGGGTGTCTGAAAGTGAATTTGTTGCGCCATGCCAGTGTCTCATTTTCCAAAGCCAGCGCAGACGTACCCCTCCGTAGTTGCCCACGAAAGCCATTTTCAAAAAAGCAGCGGGGACACTCAGCATCCTGACACTGCTTCCAGTGGTCCAGATCGGACTCATATGAACCTTGTGGCCCCCGACTTGGAGGAGGGATTGACACGGATAAACAAGATCGGCTGTCACGAGCCCAGCTGCTAGGCTCAGCCAAAGCTGCCACAGCATCATCATCACCCATGTCTGCAAAGATGCTGTTATGTTTAGAATGCCGGAGTGTATCTGAAAGCGAATGGATTCTTACACACCTACGGGTTTATGCGGATTAATGCTTGCGTCGGAATGGACGATGTCTTTTTTCAACAAAATTAGCAATGAGCCTGAATGGCTCATGGTCGGCCAATCTTCGGCAAACCTGGCAGTCAATTTGCGACAGTCAATTGAACAACTGCTGCAGACTGTATGTTTCGCATTTTTTGACAGGCTGAGAGCACATGCCTAGGCAGTTCCTTGCCCACAAAGTTTAAAACGCAGCCCCTTCCGGACCCTGACCCTCTAGGCGAGGCTTTTAGCTTGCAATCTGGCTTCTACGAGTTGGACATGCTGCAGGGCAAAACTGGAAGAAGGACTGCTTCACGCGATGCCGCATTGATCTTGGATTTAGATCTCGGGCTCCTCTTCGGAAGCTGACAACACTTCAGCTTGTCGTTCTTGCTGCTTGGCAGCAATGGGCGACCCTGCAGTTGTCGATGCATCGGCGCTGGACGAGGTTTCAGTAGAGGAAGATGACACTGACTTGGCATTGGAATCTCCACCCAAAGAGGCTGCTTTTGTGAGCCTGCGAAGCTTGCGCGCCGGAAACCCTGAATTGGGGACGCCGCTCATGATGTCAACAAGCTGGGCGAGGACCACCTGGGCTGAGGCTGAAGAAACTTTCTACTTTCATATTGTCAACCAGCAGAGTAGAGCAAATGCTGCTTGAGCCGCTGTCTCGAGGATAAGATCGGCCTGGAGCTGCTTGGAGGGGAAGCACACGTACTTCAAGCCTTTGCGAGCAGCAGCGGTGGCCGCAACTCCTGACCCTGGAGTCAAGTCCACCATGACGGTCTCCATGTTCGTGTCGTGGTGGGACAGACACCAATGCAGCTCTGACCACAATGCTTCCGGTGCCTCCCAGGGGAACAAAGGCACTGCTGGCATCGTTGTTGCATCCGTTGCGTCCTCCTGCGGGTCTTGACTCTGACCGGCCACTTCTTCCCCACCCGATGCCTTGCCCAAGATCAGATCCTTGACCTCTTGCGAGACTTGGTTCAGTTCAAGGTCACGCGGTTGCCTAAGTGACAGCTGGCCCCAACCGCGCGACCCATTGTCGCCGGGGAGGTCTATGACTTGACGCTCTCGGTGCGGAAGTGCTTTCCAGCGGTTTGACCCTGTGAGGATGTAGAGCGATTCGAGAGGGTCCGGCAAATTGGGATTCATGGCACCGTGACTCTTTCGACTCCTGAAATGGCCTCCAGCTCCAAATTCACGATTCGTGTGCATCAGTCGCAATGTGCAGGATCCCCTTGCAGGTAGAATTTTGTTCTCCGTGCCTTTCTTGATTACGGATCTGATATGATTCGCATGTGTTGCCACACGACCGTCGAAAAGGAGAAGGAGATCATGGTCCGGCCGGAAGGGGCCGCCTTCTTCAAAGAGACCGGCGGAAACCTGTTCGAAGAAGCTCTTCTCCATCACAGGCAGGCGGCGGTAGTCGTTGACCCTGTTATTTCGTTTCGGGTCACAAATAAACATGAAGCTGGCATTCTTGTAGTCCTTGTAGACGGCCAGGATTTGCTCAGTAATGTCGCCACGAATGCGCAGGTCGATGTTCCTCTCAGCACCTAAGTCAAGTGACTCTCAACTATAGAAGCTAGGGTAACCTCTGTGTCTGCAGTGCGGCTGCGGCCGCATCATGGACTTGCTGGACGCGCAGACTCTTTTAGCCACCGTCTGCACCGAAAGACGCAGAAACGAATGAGAGCCGGCCGCGAGAGACAGTTTGAAAAGGCTTGGTTTTCAAGATGCATCTTGGCACTGGCTCTCAGTCCCGGCTTACCAGCTGGCCTAGAGCCGCAAAGCAAGGAATCAGGACTACGGCAAGTGTAGTCGATGCCATGGAATTACCGATAAGGTTCTTGCATTGCCCAAGTGTCAGACCTGCAAAGTTATAGTCTGACAGGCCTTGCATCGACATCAGCTCTTCTGGGAGGATTTCACGATGACGCTCAAAAGACCACAACCTGCTGGAAGTGGCGAGTGTGGGGATCATGCCGTGCACAAAAACATGGCCGCGCTCTGTGCTTTGGCCCACCTGGGCTGCATGATGCAGAGGCTTAGTCACGGCTACATCCAATTGCAGCAATGTGGAATGCTGGCAAGCGGCGTCGGCAATTCCATGGCCATGGAGGGGCTCCTCTTCCATTGTCAGGTTGTCTGCAACCTGATGGTATACATCGACTTGACTCTGCATCCATGCCGTGGCATCGCTGCAGTGTTTCGACTCTGCATGCTCGGCCACTTTCTGATTCGTAGCAATCTGTCCATATTGACGCTTGAGGGCCCTCTCCCTTGCCCTGGCCAGGCAACTTGTGTAGGCGGCCTTGCCCTGCAACTTACTCTGCTCGTCTGACTCTGGAGCCGACAGAACCTTCCCCGCATAGGGGCTCATCTCTGGCTTCTCGAGCAGAAAAGTCTCCACGTGATGTCGTGGCATGAGCTTGGCTGCCTCGCTGCACTTTTCAACCATGTCTGCAATCTTCTTGAAGTCGCCGCCTCTGGTGCCAATGAAGTAAACTCGTGGGCGCACTGATGGCAGGACATAACTCTCCAGGTTGAAGTGCTGCCACTCATAGCCCTCAATGTCGTTCAACTGTTTCATGACCACTGACAAAACAGTTTCATCTGAACCGGCCTTCTTGACACAGTTAATGCCAGAAACATTTTCCAGCACAGCGATATTCGGCGCTGCCGATCGAATAAATTTGACGCATGCCTCAAACGACTTGAAGTGCTTTGACTCTGTGACATCATGTGTAAAGCGACCAGTGTTCAGCTGCGAGTTGGCTTTGCATATAAAGCCAGCGACATAGAGGTTGACACTCTTGGCAGCTGGAATGCAGCACCTCGCTGAATGCAAATAGCACCAAGAGGTCTGCCCGGGATTGAACTTTTTGTCGTGGCAATCACGGAACAGATGCTTTGGTCGGTCATTGACCGCTATCGCATAGGCCGCAGCGGGATCGATGTCACAGGACATCTCGTGAATCAACGGTGCTGTAGCACCTTCAAGGTTTAAGCTTTAGCCTTAAATTGTCACTGCGGTACTAATTGTGGGCCAAGGCACCCAAAATTGCTCTTGACACCATGGTTGGCATACCTGACCTTGGCTGGCGAACTTGACTGGCTCACTGGTTGAATCCATGTTGAAACAATGCTGAACTGAAGCTAGGTCGCCCTGAGTGCGTTGTGGCCATGCATACTGGAGGTAGGCTAACCGAAACCAGGAAGTGCTCAACGCCCTTATGCCGCTGAACGGCTTTATAGAAATGAACGGCCTTATGGCAGTGTCTTTCAGAAGTCACGGTTTCATTCCAAAAGTTCTGTGCTCCTGATGCATATTTTGTCGGAACTTTTAATGATGTGCACGAGACGATTTTGATTTGTTGCTCAATGATCATGATGCTACATACTTAAATTGAAATAATCTTTCGGTGTCCGAAGATATATGCTGTCACATACGATCGCATGCTGTACATTACGACCGCATTTTAAAGATATTCGCACATGTCAGCATGTAGGACCAGCATGCATGCTGCAGGATATGTACGTCCCATATATGGTTTCGCAGCTCGTTGCCCAAACGTTTGAGGATGTCCGAAGGCTTCGCGGTCAAAGTTCGGCACATAGCTTCGAGGTTGCACGCGTATTGCGTGCGCCCCGACGAGGGTCGGGTTCGCCGCACAGGTCAGCTGGCTCCTAAGAACACTTTGAGGTTCGGTGCATGTCGTGAAGCATTTTCTTGGTGCGGTGCTATCCACGAGCCGCGGTACTTTACAAAGACTGCTGTCAGAGCTGCATTGGAGCATTTGCTAGACGCTTATAGGGTAGAAGTGCCGCTCTGCGAAGCCGACGGGCTCACACGTAAGGACTGGCTGCGCAAGCAAACGAAGCTAATACAGCATCTTTGCAAACGTTCGGTGAAAAATTCGCTTGCACCGCCACGCGGCAAAGCCGTAGAAAAGCCACCGGCCATGGATGATGCCGACACGCAAGCGTGGGCCATGGAGGACCCGAACAGTACAATTTATGTAGGCAGCAAGTTCCCAGCATCGTTCGCTGCAGGATGTTGATGTTACAGCGAACGCTGTTGCAAGCACTCCTGCTGCGGGGGAGCCTCGAGCCACTCGTGAGCAACAGCTACGCCATGATTAGCTCAAGAGTTTGTAAAATCATCGATCAGGTCAGGATTCTGCGCAAGAGTGCGCTGAAGAAGAAGGCCAGCACCCGCTGGGTTTTCCATATATATATATATATATCTACCTCTATCGATCATCTATCTATATTTATCCATCTATATTCCTATTCATATCAATTTGATGGCTGTCTGTGCACACTCTGAGATGACGTGAGAGGTAGGGGAGCGAAACACTGCAAAAAAAGCCACCCTCGCCCATAAAACGCAAAGAGAGGGAGGGAGATATCTATAGAGAGGAGAGACAGCGAGAGAGAGAGAGAGAGAGAGAGAGAGAGAGAGAGAGAGAGAGAGAGAGAGAGAGAGAGAGAGAGAGAGAGAGAGAGAGAGAGAAGAGAGAGAGAGAGAGAGAGAGAGAGAGAGAGAGAGAGAGAGAGAGAGAGAGAGAGAGAGAGAGAGAGAGAGAGAGAGAGAGAGAGAGAGAGAGAGAGAGAGAGAGAGAGAGAGAGAGAGAGAGAGAGAGAGAGAGAGTGTGTGTGTGTGTGAGAGATAGCACGAGAACACGACCTTTAAAATTGGGGATCGACTTAGAAGTTCAAGCCCATCAGGTCTGGGATTCCAGGATTGCAGCATCCTTTTTTACGGCTCATCCCGCACGCACAGGCTCTGTCGACCGACTCTGTGGATACCTCGGCCGTGGCTACCAGGGAGTGGGGCGATTGGAACAAGGAGGCCGAGGAGGATGATGAATACAAGGCGGGCGGTGTTGGGTCCGCTTGACAACTCGACTCGAATCTAGATTCTCAACGGGTGCCCTCAAATAACTAACTGTATGCACGCAGGCCTTGATTGATGATTCGTGGCTTCACGAGCACCAGGCGGGCATTCGTTCACATGCACATCCATATTATTAGATTGCAAATATCAATGCCACAGTCGTATCTTCGAGGAGCCCGAAACAACGCCCGAAGCAGGAAACCAAGGCGGGACTTTAGACTGAATTGCACACATGCAATGGTGACAGCATGTTACTCCAGCTGTGCTGCGGATCGTATGTAGGTGGCTCTGCCGAGTCCTGGGTTGCCAATGGCATGGAAGGGGATGGCTGGCTTGCAGCCGATGATCAAAGTTGGGATCTTACGTGTATCGAGGCCTCCGGAGATTCAGATCCTGTTAATCCCTGGCCTGCTGAATTAAGGCTGGGGTGATGATGCAACTTGGGGTTGCGAGGGTCAAGGGCTTAAAGAGAAAGCCCCCTTCCGCCGACAAGTTTCCTGGCGCGACGAAGCTGGCCTTTCGTTGGAGTTGCCCGCTGCTGCCAGGTAGCAATCAAGTACAGCGTGTGTCGGTGGCTCGATCATGCGTCAATGGTGCGAAGTAAATACAACTAAGGCGAGTCAGCCCGAGACAGAGCCGCGCGAGCTACTCGACCTGACCTAGTAATCAGTCCTCTGCAATGCGGCTATATGTTGCAACACTTATATCGAGGTGGTGGCTGGATGAAAATGTGGATCACGACGAGCAGGCCCCATTAAGAACATAAACTTTCACAGAGAGGGCTTCGTGCCTATGTGCATACAATGCGGGCAGGCGGCTGATGATGGAGGTTGCTGGAATCTGGCTCCCGATCCAGCTGCGACCTTGGGTCGGAGAGTACCGGCACAAATTGTTTCAGTATATAAATTGAAGTGATTCAGGAGGAACCGACGAATGACGAGATCTACGAAGGTTTCGGGGAGTTCCTGGAATCCAATGGATGGTTTGAGGATGATGAGGAGGCCCCATACAGCATACACACACCTTCGGATACCAGAAAATAACCTATAACCGTTAATCCTAATTGTCTCGGACCGTGCACGTGCAGGTGGATGGGAAGGCCACTGAGAAACAGTGGGATGATGATTTGGTGAATCACGACCTCGAGCAAGCAAAGGAGGCTAGCCTATAGCAACCATCGAGTGGTCTGTGCAGCACTATAGTCTGAGGCGGCCATGGACAAGACTCGAGTGACTGATCAGCCGGATTCTTGCCAGCTTTATGAGAGCGAGAGAGAGAGAGAGAGAGAGAGAGAGAGAGAGAGAGAGAGAGAGAGAGAGAGAGAGAGAGAGAGAGAGAGAGAGAGAGAGAGAGAGGGAGAGAAAAAAAACAAAACAAAACAAACCTGTAAGGAGCCGGTGCATCCGTTTCGCGACCAACCTGATGTCGCGACGCGGCCGATCAACCCCCACGCTCAGAAGCTGGTGCTGGCCAGCAAGCAGCCAGTGGACTGGAAGCCAGAGAAGCCAAAAGCCAAGGCAAAGCAGGCGGCCAAGGCCGCAGCCAAGAAAAAACCGAAAAGCAAAGCAAGGCCCAAGGCACGAGCACGAGCAGATGGAACCCTGACCCCGTACACTGCCGCTTTTGAGTCGTTCAAGGAACAGCCACCAAGCCGCATCTATACATTGGTTTCGCATTAAATTCGTTTGTAGATTTACAATCATGGGGTGATTGCGAGAATGAGGCTTTTGGCTGATGACCCCAAGCTCAAGTTGAAGGAGGTGAGGGCTCAGTGCCGTCTCGGAATTAGATGAGTGCATATATGTGCTACCAATCCTGTGGCACATGTGCCTGTGTGTGCTGATAAGTTTGCACCTAAGGTGGTGGTATTCGGAGGAGCGGTCTACCGTTCTTTCGACCATCCCGATCAAGGAGCAGAAGAAGCGCCGATACATCTAGAATCTAGGTGAGACGAGTGGCGGCAGGGGCCGGCTGCAGCTTTATCCACAACATGCCTCAGTTGTCCGTTTACATACAAACACTCGATCGTTACGATTGAAAGCCACCTGTGTGCCATCGTCGAATTGTTCCGGTCACGAACGGCTGCGATCTTTCAAATCACACAGCTGCCGGGGTTGCGGCAAAACAGTGCATGCATGCTGCTCATGATACTTGAGGTGCCGATCGATGTGCTTCAAAGCTTGTACCTGTGTGCATGCAGTGCGTATCAGGCAAGCTAGCTGCAATGTGGTCACAGCTAGATAGCATGTGCATGCACGGTGCAACTCATGTGCAAGCTTGGTGCAACTCATGTGCAAGCTTTACGATTGCTTCATTTTGACGACTATGCGGTACTCCGTGTTGGCCTACGTCCTGACAAGCATGAATGCCAGCCAGATACCCAGCTGCACACCGCGCCACAGTAGAGCTGCATCGAAGTCCTTGGATGCACAGGCTTGCCGTTGGACGAAACCAATTATGTCCACCTCGTGGAGTTCTTTGCGGGTCCCTGGCCTGCAGAAAGAGATCAGCCTGCGACCCAATCCAATCAATTCCTTTGAACTACCCAGCCCCACGTGTTATAGGCTGTGGAGTTCTGGCGGCCGCTGCTACTTCGATTGGTCTTTCGGCCAGGACCTATGACGTGTCGTTTCGGCACTATGACTATGAACACAAGTCGGTTTGATCGAAGCCATTCTGTGTCATGTTTTCATATATATATATATATGTATATACATACACTTATCCGAGGTGGCTGATTCCTCTCGAATGGACCTCTTGAGCAACTTTGGCTTTTTGCTGGCATTGAATCTGGACGCTCGGCTTCCAAGAATAACATTATGCAGCAGAAGCCCGAAAAGCCGAAACTTATATCCAAGGTTCGGCACACCGTCGAGGGCGGTCTCATCTGGTGTGGGATTCCCTGCTCCACGTGGGTCTTCATGTAGCTACCTCAGATCCGTCTTAAGTCTGGAAGGGGATTTTGGGTTGATGGGTTACGTCTTTGGTCTAAGAAGTCGGAGGTTTTAAGTGTTCATACTCTTACCAACTACGAAAAATTCTGGCAGGGTCGTGTCTGTTCTCCGAAGATCGTCAGATTAGAGTTATATTCTCGGATTTGGCAAGCAAGGCTTATAGGGCTTTGTTTCGTGTGTTTCCTGGTATTTCCGCTTCTCGGGGAATCATGATTAAAAGGTGCATTGCTCT